CAAGGTCAGTCAAAGCAACCATTCAAATGTATAGAAAAAAGAGGTATAGAATATCGAGCCCTGGTGGCACAGTGGTTAAGCACTTGACTGCTAACTAAATAGTCAGTGGTTTAAACCCACCAGTCACTCCATAAAAGAAAAATGTGGCAAACAAACCTGGGGGTAGTAGGATCATGGGTACTTGGTTCCCCACTCTTGTTTTCTAGGTACTTGTATTTGCCCAATGTTCCACAACTAACAGGTGTTATTAGTTTAATGATTTAAAGTCTGTATGTAATACATGTATGTATGTATGTACAGCACAGTGGCTCCAAAGGATAAGCAATGGCCTGCGACCCACAAGTTTGGTGCTTCAAGCCCACCAGCTGCTCCAGTAGGAGAAAGCTGAGGCTTTCTGCTACTGCAAGATTTAAAGCTTCAGAAACCATATATAAGGTGGCTTTGAGTTGGAACAAATGCAATGGTACTTAACAACAACAACACATATGTTATGTGTGCACATAAAGTCCTGGTGGGGTGCTGTGGGTTAATGTACTGGACTACAAAGTAGGTTTGAATTCCAACGTCAGCAGTTCAAGCTCACCAGCCACTATACAGAGTCACTATGGGTTAGAACTGACTTGATGGCACTCAACAACAACAGCTATCTATCTATCTATCTATCTATCTATCTATCTATCTATCTATCTATCTATCTAAGCTTTTTATTGTGAGTTGAGTGAAGGTTTACAGAGTAGATCATCAGTTTCAAGCTAATCAAATCATATTTCAAAATTAGTATGTTGTTGTTAAGTGTCGTCCAGTGTCTTCCAACTCACAGCAACCCCATATAAGGTTTCTAAGGCTATAAAGCTTTGCAGGAGCAGACAGCCTCATCTTTCTCCCACAGAGCAGCTTGGTGAATACAAACTGCTGGCCTTGTGATTAGCTTATCTACAGAGCCACACTGCAACCCTAAAGTACGTATAATCTAAATCTATGCCTAATCACTAGTCAAGGTACTTTAACTTTTTCACAGCCTTCAAGTAAAAAGATGAAGATGATGAATTCAACAACAAGGCCCTAATTTATCTTCCATTTCTGGGATTATGAGATATGCGAATACAATGACGGAGAAGCACACTTAGTTGCAGTTGCTTTGTTCTGAGAACATCATAGCTATTCTAAAGTCTCTCATTTCCCTTCACCCTTAAAATGACCTAATTAGCAAATTGCTTGACAGAGAAGATAAGTAGCTTCATGTAATTCATTGCCATGAAAATGGTGGGGTTCTCCTTCAGTCAGCTCAGCTCAGAAACACTGCACAGAATCAATCAGTAGAAGGGAGCTCCCTACAGGATGAACTAGCAAAATGAAAACCATTACTTCAAAAGAAGGTAATAGGCACCATAAATGCACATTTTTCACAAACTCTGCCTTCCTGTCTGTCAGCCTTGCTGTAAAGGGGAAAAGAGGTAGGAGAAAATATAGTTGTTGTTGATTTCCACCCAGTCTATTTCTGACTCACAGTGATCTCATACGACAGCGTACAACTGTCTCATAGGGAATATGATGATGGCCTATGGGAAGTGAAGCCTGAGATCCTGAGGTCAAGTAACCAGAGAGTCCAAAAGATGAAGACTTTATATTCAGGAGATAGATCACAGTAAAATTGAAATGGCACAAACCACCGTGGTCATTTGTTGTTAGTTGCTATTGAGTGGTTCAGACTCATAGCAATACTATGTACACCATATCAAGACATCATCTGGTCCAGTGCCATCCTCACAATTATTATGTTTGAGCCCATCCTAGCAGCTACTGAGTCCATCCATCTTGTTGAGGGCCTTCCTCTTTTGCACTGACCCTCTACCAAACATGATGTCCTTCTCCAGAGACTGGTTCCTCCTGACAGTATGTCCAAATTACGAGACAAGAGTCTTGTCATCCCCAATTCCATGGAGCATTCTGGCTGTACTTCTTCTAAGACAGACCTGTTTGTTCTCCAGCACTCCATGGTACTTTTAATATTCTTCACCAACACCGCCATTCAAATGCAACCACTTTTCTGTTCTCTCTCTATATATTTTTTAATCATGTGCTGTGGTTAAGTACCATCAACCAGCTTCTGATTCATAGAGACTCTGTATAGCATTTCCTAGAGTGGCTGGTATGTTTGAACTGCTGACCTAATGGTTAACAGAGGTGCATAAATTAACACATAATTAGCCCTTTTTCGGGAAGACCACCACCACTGGAGTTTGCGCCCAACTTCAGGCATCACAGACCTGCAAATTGGAGATAAGAATTGCCTATGTTTTCTCATTTGGGTTTGAAAACTTTGGCCAGAATCATCTTGGCAGATCCTATTACGCATCAGCATTAAAAATTCATTTTATTTCAATACCAAAAATAACACAGAGATGCTCGTTTTAAATAATTCGCACACCCATCAGGTACTGATGTATTAAAGTAAAATGACCTATATTAATAAATGTGGCCCTACCAACACAGCTGCATTGCTTGTTTTGTTTTGTTTTTCCCTTTAACTGGCTGGGCTGTAACTCATGAAAAGTCTATTTCTGGCAAAGCGCTGCTACAGTTTGCTGTTGTTGTAAAGTGCCACCAAGTTGGTACTGATTCACAGCACCCCAGTACAGGCCTTCCAAAGCTTCAAATCTGCGGGAGCAGAAAGCCTCATCTTTCTCCCACAACTGTTACAATAAGTGGAGGGGGAGAAAAAAGGGAAAAAAAATTGAAACAAAAAGTTTAGTTTGCATGATTTCAAAAGTAGGTTTAGATTCTTAAACTCGTTCTTTCTCCTACCCTGCTACATGTGTATTAAAAACTTTGGTTGAGGTTACCCCACATGGTTCATTTAAATCTTTGTTGTTGGTAAGTGCCATCAAGTTGGTTTTGACTCATAGCAACTCTGTATAGGGTTTCTGAGGAGCGGCTGGTGGATTTGAACTATTATTCTTGTGGTTTGTAGTCCAGCGCTGATTCTATAGCTGTGTATTTAAACCTTTACTTCTTTTAAAATCAAGATGTTAAATAGAAGATTTCAACTAAGTTATACTGTTTATTTCAACAAGGCTCCAGAGTAGTATTGAAATTACTGCACAGTATTATAAGTCTCTTAGGGTTAATAGGCTGCCAAAAGAACAAACACATCTATCTTGGAAGAAGTACAGCCAGAACGTTTCTCTGAAGTGAGCAACGCAAAACGGTCCCACATACTTGGGATATTGATTGTTAGAAGGGAGTAGTTCCTGAGAATGATGTCATACTCATGAAAGTGGAGGGTCAGTGAAAAAGAGGAAGACCCCTAACAAAATGGATTGACACAGTGGCAGCAAACAAGGGCTTACACATAACAACACAGTGAGGACAGTACAGAACTGGCAGTTTTACATTCTGTTGTATGTGGGGTTGCTACAAGTTGGAACTGACTCCACGGTACCTATCAATAGCATGAGACATATCAAAACATGAAAATGAGGAAATACGACAAAATTTGCTAAAACAAACCATTTCTTTTTTAAACCATCAATTGCCCATAAAAATGACACTAAGGAATATCACACAATGCATTTGAACTTTCAATCCAGATTTTAAATGACTACAAGAACATTTCTGAATCCATCTGTCATAAGGATATGATCAGCACAAGAGAATGCCTGGCTTGTTTTACATGTATTCACAAAGTTCACTTTCCATACTCATCCATCAAGTCTGAAGGAGCGAGAATTCCAAATGAATATGAATAATAGATAGGCAGAAAAACATCCCAATTCACACAATTGCAATAATGGGGTTCCAAACATGGAATAAGACTAAGTACCAACAATAATGGTACCCTCAAATCCAAGGAGGTTACGGAATACAGACGCTATGAGATACGCTTGAAACAAATGGTCATCTCCAGCTCTGATGGAATCCCTGACAGAGTGCATAATGCTTACAATTTCTATTCCTGTCATAAGACATTGACTTTGAATCTGCTGTACCACAGCACTTGACCACAAGGTCTGGGCACTTTAAACTTCCCAACCGCTTCACAGAAACAGCATCACTATGAGTTAGAACAGATTCGATTACACTTAACAAGACTACCATTAGTTAAGAAGTCTTGGGGTGGTGGTGTAGGATAAGCACTGGATTGTAATCCCAAGGGTGACAGTTGAAACTCACCAGCTGCTCCTCAGAAATGTATACAGGGTTGCTGTGAGTGGGAATAGACTTGATGACACTCAACAACAACCTTTAGTAAAAGGAATAACGACAACTGATGTTGTGTGTCATCGAGTTGATTTTGACTCACAGTGACCCCGAAGAAGGTTACTGAGGCTTATCTTTATGGGATTAGAAAGTGTCATCTTTTCTGGTGGATTCGAATTGCTGACCTTGCAGTTAGCCCAACATGTGACCCACTAAGCACCCTAACTACAATGTTGTTGTTGTTGGTAAGTGCCGTCGAGTCAGTTACGATCCATAGCGACCCTGTACAGGGTTTCCGAGGGTGTAAATCTTTACGGGAGTAGAAAGCCTCATCTTTCTCCCATGGAGCAGCTGGTAGTTTCGAACTGCTGACCTTAAGGTTCGTAGCCCGATTCATAACCACTACGCTACCAGAGCTCCTTTTAGAAAAGCTAAAAAATCCCCGTCACTGAAGTGGATGTTTACTAAGCAATCAAACTAAACAAAAACTGTTAGGGTTGTCAGCCCTTTCAATAACCCAATTAAAGCCTCTTTTCTTTATTCCACTGCCATCTTTCCGATTCCAATTTCTAGTGACGCTGCAGGACAGAGCAGAGCTGCCTCAAAGGGTTTCCACCACCTAAAGAAGGATATCATGCCTGGTGAAGTAGAGGGTCAGCAAAAAAGGGGAAGGACCCTCCCCTGCAAAGAGATGGACTGACACAGTGGCTGTAACAATGGATTCAGATGAGGGTGAGACTGCAGCAGTGCAGGGTAGTGCTCCAGAACATTCTGTCATACACGGGGTCCCTGTGAACCATTCAGTCATACACGGGGTCCCTGTGAACCATTCTGTCATACACGGGGTCCCTGTGAACCATTTTGTCATACACGGGGTCCCTGTGAACCATTCTGTCATGCACGGGGTCCCTGTGAACCAGTCTGTCATACACAGGGTCCCTGTGAACCAGTCTGTCATACACGGGGTCCCTGTGAACCATTCTGTCATACACGGGGTCCCTGTGAACCATTCTGTCATACACGGGGTCCCTGTGAACCATTTTGTCATACACGGGGTCCCTGTGAACCATTTTGTCATACAAGGGGTCCCTGTGAACCACTCTGTCATACACAGGGTCCCTGTGAACCACTCTGTCATACACGGGGTCCCTGTGAACCACTCTGTCATACACGGGGTCCCTGTGAACCACTCTGTTGTGCACGGGGTCCCTGTGAACCATTCCGTCATACACGGGGTCCCTGTGAATTACTCTATTGTAGATGGTGTCCCTGTGAACCATTCTGTTGTACAAGGGGTCCCTGTGAACCATTCTGTCGTGTACAGGGTCCCTATGAGTCGGAACCACTCCAATGGCACCTGAAAATAATCTTTACAGAAGCAAACTGCCATTGTTAAGTGCCATGGAGCTCCTTCTGACTCATAGAGACCCTGGGTAGAGTTTGAACCAGCAGCCTTTCAGTAAGCAGTCCAGTGTTCATCCGACAGCGCCATATCAGGACTCCACAGAAGCATATTCCAGGTCTTTTACTCTGCAGACCCGCTGGGTAGGTTTTCTTGCATTTTTATACAAATAAGGCTCACATTATGTGCTTTTGACAACTGAACAGTCCTCACATATTCCTACGCAAATTATGTTAATTTTAAGGGCTTGGTTGGCAAAAAATATATAACACATGCATTATTTACATACAATACAGTAAACCAGGAACCTTTTTGGTTTGTAGTCCGGCACTTAGCCATTGAGTCACCGAAACTCACTGTGTAAATACCTATTTATATGTTATTGTATTTAAGAGCCACTGAGTTGATTCCAACTCATAGCAACCCTGTATAGAGTTTTCGAGGAGCAGCTGGTGGGTTTGAATCTCAAGCCTTTTGGTTAGTAGTCTGGTGTTTATCCTATAGTGACACACCAGGACTCTACATTTTTATATTGTTGTTGTTATCAAGTGCCATTGAGTCAGTTCTGACTCATAGCAACCCTATATAGGATTTCTGAGGAGCAGCTGGTGAGTTTGAACCACTGACCTTTCAGTTACCAGTCAGTGCTTATCCTATAGTGCCACAGGAGGACTCCCAATGGAGGACAGACCTAAGATATATTTAAATACAGATTTTGGAGCATGTACATGGAACTGCAGTGTTTTCTTACAGTGGTACATATACTGAAATGAGACTGTTCTTCCTTTCAGGCATGCAGAAAGAGTTGACCCATGTATCAGAAAAATACATTCTGATTCAGATATCTGGCTACGTATCAGCTGCTCTACACAAGTACAAGGAAATCGTACAGAAGAGGGCTTTTGTGTGCGTTGATAAAACTCTCATCTACTGTGGCACTGCAAGGAGCTCTGGTAGCGTAGTGGTTACGAATCAGACTGCGAACCTTAAGGTCAGCGGTTCGAAACTACCAGCCGCTCCGTGGGAGAAAGATGAGGCTTTCTACTCCTGAAAAGATTTACACCCTCGGAAACCCTATACAGGGTCGCTATGGGTCGGAACTGACTCGACGGCACTTAACAACAACTGTGGCACTGCAGGATAATGCGATAATGCACTGGGCTGCAAGATTGGTTTGAACCACAAGGTCAGCAGTTCAAACCCACCAGTCATTCCTCAGAAATCCTACACAAGGTTGCTATGAATCCAAACTGACTCAACTGCACTTAACAATAGCAACAACAACAAGATAGCACCAGGGATCCTGACAGAATAAAAGAGGAACAGAATCTCAAATTCTTAAAAACAAAACAAGAAATAAGACTTATTGACACTGGATGACTCCCTGAGAGACGCTTTAGACCTGGAACAGAAACTAACCTCTAAGATCACATCTTAGCTAAATAACTGATTGGCTCACAAAATAAAGACTATCTCCCATGAAAACTGTTCTCCTTTTCAAAAACTCACTCAGAGGAAACCAAGTGGTCAATAATTACTTTAAAGCAAAGATGAAAAGGTAAGGGGACAGGGGAGCTAGATGAACACAAACAACCTGAACGGAAATAATGAGAATGTTCCCACAGTGAGAAGATCATAAGCAATGTCACTGAAGAATTTGTGTAGGGAATTGTCCAATGGGTACCTAAAATGCTATGTAAATCTTTACCAAAACAACACAATAAAATACAATAAAAAATACAGACAGTGCATTGTTCAGGCCCAGCTTAAACGATTCCTGTGATAATTTTCAGATTATTTACAGCAATCTACATCCAACTAAAAAGTAAGACAAAACAAAAACATCCTAATGCAAGCAGGTCAGCTCTCTGTGCAAACAGGATGCTCGCATTCTAAACCCAGCTCTGTGCACACTGACTGATGATGAATCCCCATCGTACTTCTGAATACTGTATGTAAGACACAAAACTCCCAGCTCCAAAAAGAATCTGCTTTTTTTGTTTTTTTTTCCCAGCCCAAGGGATACAATTCAACATATTCTGTTAAGTAAAATGACAGCCCACAAAAAATTCAATGCTCATAAAATAATTGAGACCACTATTTCAACATTGTCTCATTGTGGTTGCAGATGAAGGCATAAAAAGTAGCTGGAAGAAGCATAAGTTAATATTGCAGGGCAACTTCATGATGGCTTCTACAAAAAGAATGCATCGTTCCATGAAGAAGTAGACCTCACAGAAGTCACATTTTACAGCCTTCAAAATGAATTCAGTAAATTCTAGATTCCATCCACAAGAATTGTATGCATGAAATATAAAATATAGGAGTGAGTCTTGATATGGTAAATGTTGTCTGTACAGTTTGGAAATGCACTGCAGGATAAGCACTGGACTGTTAACCACACTAACTGCAAGGTAAAGAGGTCAAACCCACCAGCCTCTATCAGAAACCCTATACAGGGTTGCCATGAGTCAGAACTGACACAATTGCATACAACAACTCCATTGAATAGAAAGGTGAGAGAACTTGTAATAGCAAGCTCTACCCACTGTTCTGAGGATTGTAAATGAATGGTAGTTTGATGGTGAGGGGTTGCTTGCACAGCTGACAATGTTAATACTATGGAAGATAAAATCCTACTATTGGTCTGTGTGATTAGATTTCAACAGATGTCTCTAATTAATACTAGACAAAGAGATACTTAGGGTCAACGGAGTGATATTTTTTTTCATCAGGTTATTAATGTCAATCTGCAATTGACGGCATAGAGCCACTAAATGATAAAAAAAAAAAGTACCAACATCTCCATATGTCGAGGAAACCCTAAGTTAATTAGAAACTTACCAATATAAAGGAAGGGAGGTGTATAATAATTCTAACAAATGATTGTCTATTCTGAACAGACACAAAAACCAAATAGACCAAACCCACTGCCATCAATTCAATTCAATTTAATCTCACAGTGACCCTATAGGACAGGGTAGAGTTGCTCCTTTGGGGGTTTACAAAATTGTAAAGCTTTACAAGAACAGACATCTTCATCTCTTCTGCAGAGTAGCTGGTGGGTTTGAACCACTGCTGACCATGTGGTGGGCAGCCCAACACTTAACCCATTATGCCATCAGGGTTCCTTCAATTAGGTATTAAAGACAATAAAGAAAGAAACTCATATTGACACACCCTTTCTGAAGAGCGATTTCAAGGTTCATTACAAAACCCTTAAAAAGGTGAATACTCTTTCACCCACTCACTTTCTTCAAAACTTTGTTTAAAAGAATAAAAACACTGATTCACATATCAACTTAATAAATATGTTTATCATATATATATATATATATATATATATATATATATATATGTATTTTTTTTCCCCCTTAAATAGACAACCAACATCTACTAACATTTAAAATGTAGTGGCTTTGGGGTGAGACAGAGTAGGGTTCAAATCTTGCTTCCCTTTCTTTTATAATTTATCTGAATTTCTTTGCTCAGAATATAAGAAGGATGTCTAAGATTATTTTCTTTCAGGTATATGCTCAGGCAAGTCAATAGTATTTATTAATGAAGACAACTTTTCTGAATTGTTTTATGTCAGCTTTATCATATATCAGATACTTATACTTGAATCTATTCAGTTAATTTGTTTCAATGCCAATTCATATGATTTAATTGTGGGAATTTTATAGTACATGGTACATGGTTTATAGCTTCCCCTACTACAATCTTTTAAGAATTTAGGAGCAACGTTTGGGATTTCTTATTCCATTGGTATTTTACAAATAATAACAGCTATCTTTAAAAGTATAAAAAGAAAGATGGTGGTGGGAGGCATTTATCATGTATTCAAATACATTCTTCAACAAGAATATGGTGATCAGAGAAGACAGTGGGAAAGTACAAAGTCTTCTTTTGAGACTTTAGTGTATCTTCATGTTAAGAAAATTAATGTATGTGCACAATCCAGACAAGGTAATGCTCAGTGATTTTTATCAAAAGCTATGGTTCAAGGGGGTTAGGAAAGGAGGAGGAATGGAAACAGGAAACACAAGGAAGAAATGGAATCAGGGATGTTCATTGTGGGCACTGCAATCAGTGAGATGTGGCAAAATGGGTATGAATTATTGAATGGGAAACTGATCTGCTCTGTAAACCTTCACCCAATTCACAATGGAAAGATAAAACAAACAAGCAAAAAATCTATAGTCCTAATCAACTTTTCACCTTGTCTAGATGGGTCTGGTAAAAAGAGATAGGGATAAGATTCTTATGATTCAACAGTGAGTAATTGTTATCATGACTAACTGCAATGGTCACAACTGTAAAGGTAAAAGTTTTGTAACAAAAAAGGGGGAGAAGTTAATCTTACAGTCCAGGAACAGAGAACCCTAGGACCATCAAGGGAAAAGTGCACAAGTGGAATGCAGGATCCTATACACAGAAACAATGACACCAGAGATGGAGACAGAGATGAAGGACTCAAGACTCATGGAAAGAGAAAGGCTGTGTGCTGGTGGCCAGGAGGCAGGCATGCAGAATGCGCCCTTTGGTTGTTTAAATGATTTTATATTCCTGAGTGTTTTTGTGTACATCCCCCAATCCCCCAAAAAAGAAGGAATACAAGCAAATACTGTTGAATGATGATGCACAGAGGGAATTGTAATCACTGCAAAGAAATGATGAGTGTAAAAACCAGTGTTCTCCCATGTAAACTATTACTCAATTCACAATAAAACCTTTTTTTAAAAAGCTATAGTCCTATTCAAAGGGCAAGAAAATCATAGGAAGCAAACTTTGCAAGGTGAGCCAAAGAGCTAGTCAAGATGAGGAGATGGGGCAATTTCACAAATTTGCCACAGATCCTCAATCTTTTCCAAGTGTAAAGAACCTTTTTTTTTTTTTTTTAATGTC